TATATATCTAGTATTTTTTCTAATAATATATTCTTTATTATATCAAGTTTTTCCCAGACTAAGGTAATTTTCACACAAAAAGGTACAAGCGCGTTTCTCCCGACAGATAGCGCTGTTTCGCATAAATAATAAACATTCTTTTGTATTCAAGTTTTCATATAAAATTATAGCGCGTTCGCATACAAATTGTGTAAAATATTACTTGCAGATAATATACAGATAATTTATTGGAAAAATATCGAATTTTTTTGTGCGTTTCTTATTTTTTAATCGTTAATTTCCACTGTCTCTTAAACATATTTTAATCTCTGTAATTATAAATGAGAAAATGAAATTTTTGTACAAATATTTTCCGTGTGTAAACTCACAATACTACAAAATAAAAACTCAAAAACTACTGAACCAATTTTTTTAATTCTTTCAAGTATCAAAAAACTATTTAAATCACAAATAACATAGGGTTATACATTTTTAGACCAATAAAAACAATATAAACTTGATTCACAATAAACTAATTGGTTTAAAGTAACTAGTAATAAAAAAAAAGTTTTATTAACTAGGTGTCGACCGAGACTTCGTCCGCGTGGAATTAAAAAATATAGCCTATGTAAGACACAGATAATATACCTTTCTAATGGTGAAAGAATGTTTAGAATCGGCTCAGTAGTTTTTGAGTTATTTCAATACATACAAAAATCGAAATCTTTCCTCTTTATAATATTAGTATAGATAACAGCATTATGACCAACTTAATATTACTTAATAGTGACGTTATGTTGTTTAATTATGAACACATGAAGGTTTGCACGCAATATCCAATTAACTCTAACAAGAATAGAACGGACCCATTATTTTAATTACCTCTCTGATGGCTACAGATGTAATAAAATTATACTGTCCCTGTCTATTTACTAATTAAGTACTGCAATATTGGTACATACAACTGTATCATGACTTTAGGATCGCAAGTTAATATTAAAAAAGTAAACGTCATCGATTAACATTGATTGTCCATCTCTTTCGCACTCTAACACTATTATATCTTCTATCTCTCTCGAGTAACGAAATGAGCAAACGTGACGCGTCCTTGAATTTAATTTCTCCATTTTTGACGTAACTTACAAGTTATTAAACTTTTTAACAGCGGTAGAGCCCGCTTTAACATCTTCGCACGAATGGGTCGGCTCGCCACCAATACCACGACCACACAGAAGGCAGGTGTTAAGAAGGAGCAGATTGACGTTTCATCTGATGAGTATGATGCCGGAGGCAACTTTATTCTCTTTTCCTTCCCGCCCTTTTGTTATAAGAACAAGATAGAAAGGAAACGTGAATTTGACGGCGGGAAAGACGCATAGGGGCAATATCCTCTTTATGTGCTCCTCAGTCGATTAAGGGTAGGTAACGCATCCACTTTTGCCAATGTCTATGGACAGCGGACGCTTAGCCATTTGGGCGGATTCAGGTGGCCGCTTGCTTGTCACCTGATGATGTTAAAAAAAAAACTAAAAAATTATTAATCTCAACATAGAGATATAAGGTTCTTTATTATAGAACTAAATATCTAAAGTATTATATTTTAAGATATTAAAAATAGCAAATGAACGGCTTGTCCCGATCTAAAATCGTGCCGTACAATAAATACTGTTTACGAGCCTTTGGGTCGGTAACCGTATTCATATCACGTTCGCTTTAGAATCAGCAGTTGCGGGCCGCTATCGCAAATACGGCCCTAATTTAAGGACCCCTGACCGGAACGGTTATTCTGTTTATTTTTATTACCCTGTTAACTTTAGACGTAAAGTTGACGATGTTTACCAATTTTTACACAAATATTCAATAACAATTTTTTATTATAGAGAAAACTCTACAAAAGTAGAGTTTGAAAAAACGTACAGCGTTCAAGTGTTTGTGTCGATATTTATATCTATACATATAATAAAAATGGAGTGTCTGTTTGTAATATCAAAAGAAAACTTTCAGATTTTGGGAAGATGATATTTGCGTTTGTCTGTCTGTCTGCAATCCGCATTTGTTCCGGGTAATTTCCGAAACGGCTGGACCGGTTTCGACCGGATTTCACTAAAGGGTAGCTGACATAGACGGGTATATTATAGGCTATTTTTATCTTAATATTGCATAGACGAAGTCGCGGGCAACAGCTAGTTGTAAGATAAAACTCACATATATCAATTTTCTTGCAGTAAAACTGCACATGTATACTTAACAAGAAAAGTGAAATTCCATACTAGATAGCCAACGGTACACTCGTGCACAGAATTCCAACTACTCTAACGGTACAATGCGGTACAAATATGTAAGAATTAATGACGGTACAGTCGATGATAGAACGATAATGACTCGATGACAACGCTTTTTGCAAGACATCTGTGTATGTGGTTTTATTAACTGAGTAGAAACTTGAGAATTATTGTAATGTTTGAAATAAAACGCAGGTGTTAATCCAAGATGTATTAACCGACTAACTAAAATACGTACATTCATTAGTGTATAACCCGACAGGTGAAGATGTAGGTACATAACAATTATTTATGTCGGTAATAAAATACATTATAGCGATATTTTGTAGAACTAAGTGATTGTTACGTAATACGAGTATTTAATTTTATTTATGATTAGCTTTCGCCTACGACTCTGTTTGCGTGGAATTAAAAAAATGCCTATGTGTTCTTCCAGACTACCCTCTACATCCAAACCAAATTTCTTCGAAAACCGTTCAGTCATTTAGGCTACAAACTTTAATAAACATCCATCTAAACTTTTGCATTTATAATATTAGTATGAAGTATGATTTTATGTTTAATTTTTGGTTTTTGTTACATATTTGACTGTTGCACGTGACTGTACTTAAAGGAGAGTAAAAATGGTTATAATAAAGAGTTAAAATTACGTATAAAGTAAAAAAAATGCAAATCTTTTTGGGTCAGTCACGTAGGTTGAAGCTACAAGAAAAAAAAAAGCATATTTCGCTCGCAAATTCGAATGACTAGTTAATTGGACTATGAAGTGGCAACCCTGAGTATTTAGGATACGTTTTCGACAGATTATTAAATATTTTTTTAGGTTATAATTTCACTCTAAAATACTAGTCAAATTTTAACAGAATAAATATAAAAGAAAGTCGTGATCATTAGTTAGTTTTGATAGATATTGCAAAATGTCAGGGCTGTCGCAACTGATAACTAATTAAGAACGTATAATGAGTACTTGTTTAGGACAGCCCTAGTCCCAGGTGTACTGATAATTGAGAATTGAGTCGAGTAACGCCTCAGTTCATTGAGTCAAAGAAGTGTAATGGCCGCCTTTGTACACTAAATGTATTTACTGCTCTAAGTGGGGGGTGTAATTCTATTAGGGGTAATGCTTCTCTTGAAAAGAAAATTGCTACTGTCGGAATTAAGCAAATTAAAGCCTTACTGTGACGTCAGTGTTCACGTAAGAAATTTTTTCCTGTAAAAAACATTTTTCATAAAAAAAACTAAGTAGCCTATGTGGGCCAGATTACACTCCATCTATGTCACATATCGTCGAGATCTGTTCAACAGTTTAGGCTACAAACTCTAACATACATCCATCCATCCATCTAAACTTTCACAATTATAATTTTAGTAAGAAAATAAGGGGTATAAAGTCAAAAACCAACTGTTGTAAATAGTTTTACCTTGTTTTGGATTACTCTTTTTAATTTTCAACGATTTTTTTTATAACCTAAAATGTATTTTAAAATTAGTTTAACTGTCATTTTTAATATGCATTTATCACACGACAAATGTTATTTACTAGCTTTTGGCAGCGACTCCGTCCGCGGGGACTAAAAAAAACAAAAGCAAGTAGCCTATGTGTTCTTCCAGACTATCCTCTACATCTATGCCAAATTTCATCGAGATCCGTTCAGCCGTTTAGGCTACAAACTCTAACAAACATTCATCCATCTAAACTTTCATATTTATAATATAAGTAAGATATAAAGTTGATGTAATATATTT